GACGACAAATAGGAGGAGAGAACAAAGAAAACTATAAAACTCAAGTTTCGAAGTTGTGTGATTATAATTGATGATATGATTATGAATAGTAATAAATTTTGTTCGAAACGTGATCCAGTAAATAATACTGTTTCACTGTGTGATATATCTAATAAACAAACAAATATGGGATAAATCCTTCTGATGAACCTTTCGCGATTTCACACTTTCTTACCACTAAATACTGATTATCAAAACTGATATTGTATGTTGATGAGGTGTACTAAACAGGCCGATTTTATAACTAATCAATCACTACATATATTTAATTGAATTTTACATTTCCCCGTCGATTGTTTGAGCCTTAGTGCTCGGTGTCAGGTTGATATGTCGGCTTCTTGTGGTCCATGTGGTCTAGTGGATAGTGCTTTGGCGTTTGAAACTATAGGCCGTGGGTTTGAGCCTCGGTGATGCGAACATCACCACTCACTGACTGACTGGGGAATGCAGGTACATCCATGCACTACCAGCTGACGAGTCCCAACTAGGACGAAATCCAAGTTATCCAGGTGGATTCTACTGCTAGTCACCCATTCACCAATTAATCAATCAGTATAGTTTTTCGAGATGTATATGCACGTATATATGCATTACACGTTTATGTATTGTCGACTTCTTTAGAAGTATGTAGATTGTTCAAGTGTATACATTTTTTTGGCTTTACTAAGAAAGCACTGCAGTATTAGTAGTGGTATTAGTGTCAGTAACTGTTGTTTAGTGTATGTAACATTTCAGTAAGACATTTAGTCAATAAAAAACCACTTTTTGTTAGTTAGTTAATTAGCCAGCTAGCTAGTTAGCTAGGTAGCTACGTAGCTAGCTGTTACTTGATATTCGAGTTGTAATCGTTTAGGGGAATGGGTTTATTACTTTTTTTCTCGCCAGCTGTGAAAAATGTTACATTTCAGTAGTCTGACCATCTATCGTTAATGTTGGTTAAAAGGTACAATCTTAGTACAGTTTTGTTGGTTCATTTATGTATAGATATAGTTGTGTGATGTACGAATCACATTTTTCTATGTGTGTGTGTGTGTGCGTGTGTGCGCGTATCTTTTTATTAACTAGTTTCAATGTGTTTCGAGTGTCCTACAGATAGCGACAAATTACAATGTAGATAATTGAAAAAAAAAGAAACCAACATGGAGTCGTAGTGGACAGTTTGATTCTTTGACAGTGTGTATCCTCGACCGAACCTCGACACCTTCAGGTTAATGGACAAAAGACAGGAAAGATGTCTTACCTAACTTTAGCTCTTCTTCATGCATATACCATTTCAACTATTCCTTTGGTTCAAGTTATTTACATAGGGCGCACGATTAGGCAGGTTCATCTACGGTTTCGAGAACACTTACCAGCTTGGTTCAGCAGGGTGGGGGGGGGGGGGAATTAGGTGCATAAAAAGCTCGATCCTGTCACACTTGGTCGATACTGGACATCGCATCGATGTGAACACACCTTTCAGGGTTATATACCGAATTCCGAAGTCGTTATCACGTACAGTTCGCTTACGTCTCCTACACATAGCTGAAGGTGTTGCAATACGATTGACTAAACCAGAATTTTGTATCCAAAAAGAACACATCCACACGCTGTTGCTACCGTGGCCAAACTTGGATTGAAGATTTTTCTTCTCACCAAGAATGTTTCTTCCCCCTAACCTTCTTGGTTTATTTTTGTTTTATTTTTACGTTGCTTATTATTACAAATATTATTATTACAGTTATTGTTATTCGTCATAATTTATGCCCTTTCTGCAGACATTCCCTCAATACTATCGAATTTTTCATTTATCCGGACTTATTATTAGTAATATTATCTGTTTTCTCTATATATGCCTTCCTCCACCTGTTTCATTTCACATATTCGTTATTTCATTATGAACCACCTCTCATTGCAGTCTTACTATCTCCTGTTTAATACAGACCACTTTGTACTAGCCACTCACCCAGCCGACACCTTTTATAACCTTGAACTGATTTGTCAATTTTCCTACCCCACACTCTACAAATCTATTATGATTAATCACCACCATTGTCTCCAATTTTACAGAAATATTTTATAATCGATTTCAGCCTACTAGCACGTTTGTCACACAAATATGACTATTTATTCTGACACCCCATAACTGCTAATCTGTTTCTCTACGTTAAAAGTGTATCCACCGCATAACTGGCCTTTATTGTAACGACCAAAAATATTATATTATATAATTGTAAGAGTGCGTCGGTGGTATAGCGGTTAGGGCGCTCGCCGACCATGCACATGGTCGGGTCCGCGCCTTCACGGAGGAAGGAAGTTGGGACCCCTAAAAAACCCAAAATATTGGCCTTTCCGAAGGAAAAAATATATAATTGTAAGAACCTGAAGAGAAGAATGCATTGAAAAGAATATTCTTCGTTCAGATTGACTTTTAAGAGACAAGTAGTTCAGCAAAGAGTCTCTTTTCGCCGGTAAATTCATTTTCATAGCTGTACAATCACAAATAAAAATGGTTATTTTATATATATATATATATATATATGACCTTTTTAAGAAGTTATATCCAGTGTGGGAATTGAATCATAGGTGTGAATGCATAAAATGATAATAATAGTATGAAATGCAATTAAAACTAAAATGTTTGTGATTATAATCATAGTTCAATGTCAAGTGGCAAAACAATTAATGTCATATATAGAATAATTCATAGGCTATATAGATGTGCATTTATCAGTTCACCTGCTCTTGTGGAACAAATTGCATTGGTCTTAGCCAGAGGACGCTTTGCACACGGATACAAGAACATATTCAAGCAGCATAGTTTTACAAGGGAGAAAGAAAGAGTGTGAGAAGCTCTTTTCTAGAACGCCTGATCGACTCCTGTCACTCTGCCAACCGTGATCATGATTTTAAGATCATTTAGCGAATCCATACTAACTTCCTGGCCACGTTTTCTTCGTTTTAGACTTCTAAAGACAACGGAGGCCTTGGAAATTCATGACTTTAAGCCAGCCAGACCTTTGTGTACAAAAAAAGTATGTAAAATCCCTACTTCTGACATGGCTGTGGAGGGATAGACATTTATTTACTTATTTTGTTTATTTAGTTAATCTGTGTACTTCCTTTATTACTACGATCATTATTCTCACTCTGAATTGTTTCCACTTGTCCCACTTGTCATTTTAAACCCGAAATTATTACTTTTTATACCTTTTAGTTTTTCAATATTGAATTCTATCTTATCGAATTTCACACCATGTTGTGTAACATTTTGTATTCGCTTTCTAATCTTATAATTATGCACCCCTTTCCAACAATATCTATACACCTGATGTATTATCCTATATATGACATTGGTTGTTGTGCTTCTTGACATCTAACTATGATTATAATCACAAATATTTTAAGTGCATTTCATACTACTACTATTATTATTTCATGTGTTCACACCGTTGACTTAATTCCCTCACTGGATATAATTTCTTAAAAACAAGCATATATATACGATTGTACAGCTTGACAATAAATCCATTGTAAAAAGGGTCTCTTCGCTGAATATGCTTTTCTTAATTCTAACATCGTAAACTCGTGATATAGCGTTACCCTCATTGACATGGCCGCGCACTAGTGAAAAATCTCCAAATAGGGTGAGTGCTATCTAGTTTTCATTGCACCAACCGATGTCTGGTACCTCGACGTGCTGATTGGGTTTGTATATCGCAGTGATGCAATAAACTGCTGCACTGGTTGGAACTAATATTCCAGTGGTGTGTGTCCATCAAGGATGCCCACTATCCCTATTTCTGTTCAATTTCATCATAAGATGTGTGTGCTAATGGAGTTTACTCTAACTGCTGACTTCAGCGTCTAAGGGATTGACTTGTTACCACAACCAGGGAATAATCTCGTCGACTTAGAATATGCAGATGATATATTCCTTCTGAAATAATAGAAAAGATTTGTAACTCAGGTAGATGATTTGCAATTGATAGTGTTCTCTGAGCTCCTTGGTTTAATTGCGGAGCTTTCATCGTCTTTCTGGATGACATCTTCAGCGAAGTATTTAGGATAAAGTGAAATGATTTAAATTTCTTCATGAGTCTCCCGTAACCATCTTTAGATATGTATTGACCGTTTTCTATTGATTGTGATTTTAAACTTTCTGATCACCTGATTTACTTGACGATGAAAGCTCCGCAATTAAACTAAGGCGCTCAGAGAACACTATCAATTGCAAATATATTCCTTCTAGATGAAGACGTTGACAAAATTCAACAGAGTCTTCTGAACACTTTGAGCAGAAATTTGCGAATTTTTGGTATGGGATTCGCTCCTACTGTCAAATATATAAAGATACTGCAGGATTGGGCTACATCGACTCACTCCTAACTTAAAGATAGGCAAGAGTGAAGCGGTTGGTGGAGTGTGTTGACCACTGCACTTATTTGGGGAGTTGCATTAGCTAACGCCAGTGGGTTGGTTGCTGATGAATTCTCAACACGGATACAGAAGGCTTGTGTGTAATTTGCCAACTCCACGCCATTTCTGTAGTAGACCAAAGGACGTGTATACTACTCATCGCAGCAGTCCTTTCCATCCTCCTTTATGACTGTTGGTGAAACATGGCCATTGAAAGTGGAAGACATGAAAAGGCCAGCTGGCTATCTTTGATGCATAAGTTTCTGTGTCCTATATCTCGTGTTAGGTGGTACGATAGGGTGAGTAATGTTGAGGTTGGACGTCGAGTGCCAGGTAAGAGGCAGGGGAAAATCAATCAATGAGGTTGTGAAGTTACATTGACTCCAAATCTCAGATGTGTATCACTGCTCTTGTAGTGGTTGGCTTCTTGTATAGAGTAGTTCTAGGTTGACCTGTCTGTCTAAATTGTCATCACCTATCTTCAGTGAAGATAGATCTTAAATTTTTAACGATGCATTTAAACAAATTTGTTTCTTCTTCATTGTCTTTTTTTTCGTTTTTAGCCTCAGAAGAACAGCTAAACCGAATTTGGAGAATGAATATCATCGAGAAAATTCTTTGAAGCTTTCAATTTTAGAAGCAAGAAACCTTCTCCCAAAGCGTCGGTAAGTTAGACTAAAATCAATCGATGAGTTTATTCTATTTACAAAAAATTGATTTATTAACAGTATTATTATTCTTACGAGTTGGTCACGGATCGATATCAGTTAGAGAACCATTGAAAACCAACACTGGAGTACTGGACAGCTGTTTCCTTCATCCTAGTTTGGGAATCATTGGCCGTAGCCTCCTGGGGTTCAAACCCAAGACCTTCTGGTTACAAGACCAGCAAACTCGTACACCATTCAACCACTGGGACCCGACTCTTCAATGGTCAGCCTATGAATTCTAACTTCTACCAATTTGGAATTTGGTGCGACCCCAACCAATGTCGTCGGTCGGACATCCGTCCTCACACTTGACTGGATGGACGTCACTGGTCACAACTTCTCATTAGAACACCTGGAAACTCCATCCTGCAGCTCTCCAGTACTCCCTGGTTCTGAGTGGAACATATAGGGCTTCAACAACATGCCTCCGCTTTGTTCTATTCTTTGCTGTCCTTTTTGGTTGGCTGGGTCGACGATTGTCTATAATCGCTGATCCTCTCCTCTAACTCACAGGATCTCCTCCAATGTCACTCTCTTCGACGACCCATTGGGATTCCATTCGAACAATGACCTGGCGTGTAATTTTTTCGACAGTCTCCTTAGCGTGTGTCCAATCTATCTCGATTTTCTCCAACATATTTGTTTAGAGGTAGATGGGTTCTTAGTTAACAGAAAAAGAATGAGTGTTACGTAACTTCAGAGCTCAAGGGACAACTGCTTGAGACCGGTCACATACGGCCTGTTTGATAAACTGGCCGTATTAAGGATTACTGCAAGTTACGGACCGCAATAGAATAAGTCGAGTTGGCCTTCTCTAACTCACCAATCCCGTCTCCAGAGTGTGGAGACAGCATAGCTAGTGTGCTTCGTGCTCATCTAAGAGAAACACCTTATTGCTGTTATATACTTGTTCCCTAGTAGAGAAAGACTTCACCCTCAGAACCCCCAGTATAGTGTAAACATCTTACACTATGGCGGTGGCTGCTTTTAGTCTAATTTCTATCCTAAAAGCCTTTCTGGCATGGTAGGGATCCTTCTAGGAACATTAGTTCCAGCCATTATACTTTGTTGGGTCATTGCGATATACAAGTCCGACCACCACATCAAGGCAGCAGTAGCTATTGGTTTGAATGTGATTAAATAGGAAGTTGAAACCAGGATTTCCAGGTTACAAGGTTAGCTCGTAGACCATTCAACCATAAGGACGGAATGGCCAATGGCCAGCCCATGGATGCTAACTTCTGCCATTTCACTATATGGTCCGATTGTTTTGTCCTCACACCTGACCCGCTGTACCCCATTGACCACAACTTCCCACTAGAACCCAGTTTAATACCTACTTGAATAGGGCCAGTCTCTAGCGAACATCGAATTGATATTCAAGTGTTAGTTTGCAGGATATGAGGATATTAGATAGTGCCAGTCGCGTTATATCCTGAATTGGAAGAAGTTGGAATTCATGGGCTGACCATCGAATTGCTGTCCCAGTGACTTTATGGTCTACGAGCTCGCCTTTCTAACCGAAAAGTCCTGCGTTGGAATCCTGGCTGTGGGTGGGTAGGTATACTGGTGAACAGTCACAAACTAGGCTGACGAAACAGCTATCCAGTACTCCAAGATTCTGGATTGGTTCTCTAACCAACGTCAGCTTATAATGAAATCATGAAGACGAGAGTCGAATCCCTTCCTGCAAACCGAAACTTGAATTTTATTGATTCACTTTCAACAAATAATGAAACAGAAGGACAATATTTAATTAGTGGATGATGGTGACTAGCAGTGGAATCTGGGATGAGAATTTCGACCTATTTGGGACTCGTCAGATGCATTTCTCAGTGAGCGATGATTTTCCTACCACCGAGGCTCGAACCCAGTACCCATAGTTTCAAACACCAGGCAAAGCGTTATCCACTAGACTACTTGGACCACGAGAACCACTGTCTCTTGCTCTTGTGCAACGGGTCATATTAATTATTTAATTGAATTTTAGATTTTCCCGTCGATTGCTTGGACTGAAGTTCTCGGTTTCAGGTTGATATGTCTGTCGGCTTCTTGTGCATATGATTCGACGATATTTGGTCATGTAATTTGAAGTTAATTGGTGAATAGTTACTTGCAGTGGAATCCATTAGCTGACGAGTCCCAAATAGGACGAAATGGGCTTTATCCTCGCTGGATTCCACTGCTAGTCACCATCCATAAGTTAAATCCTAATTCAATGCCCAGACATCGTTGATGCATCTCACACAAGAAGCTAACAAACATGTCAACCTGAGACCGAGGAGCACTTCGGTCCAGTCCAATCAATCGGTAGACGGGAAAATCTCAAATTCATTTAAAAGCATACTGTTCCCCCATTAAAATGAATCATAAGAACTGACATTTAGCATAAGATAAAAATATTTTTTTAAAAATTCTGACTTTCTCCTTCTTATGACTGACTGGTTAACCGGAGACAGAGAAAATCAACACACCATTTTGCGGACATTTATGCATCTATATATATATATATATATATATATATTATACTACCATTTCTACCAAGAAACAGTTGCTGTTGCCCTCATTATTATTATTATTATTATCTCATCTCTGTCATCAGAGTGTCTCTAAATCATATTCTCTTTACTACATACAAGTAATGGTAATGCTGAGCAATTATAGAGTTAGAGAGAGAGAGAGAGAGCGGAAATGCCACAAAGACCAAAACAAAAGAAAAGGAGAGAGACGACGCAGCCACAGATAAAATTGACAATTGAAACCTATTAACATTAGAAGAAAAATGAGAGGCAATATAATAGGAAAAGCAAAGCAAGAGGCGCACACGTGTATGTGACAGTGTGTATACGTATTTGTATACGTATGTATTATATGTGGTGAATAAGCCCGATAGCTATTGACTTTCAGCGAAGTTAAAAATTATAAGCACCACTAACTACCAATCAACGAACGACCTTGAACGCACCAATCACATGACAGAGGCAGTTTTAGTCATGAATTACAAATTATTCATGTAAAAAATGCATAAAAATTGTATAAAACTGTTAGATAGGTATACCTTTCTCTCACATGTGATGAAAATATCTCCCAGTTTAGCACTATTATTATTATTAGGATTATTGTTTCCTTTAAGTCCTAGAAGAACATCGGGCTTCAGCCGCACGTCTCCATTGCGTTCGGTTCTCTGTGAACTTTTTTACCTGACTCCATGTCTGTCCATAAGCTTTCATCTCCTCTTCACATCACCTCCTCCACTCCATGTCACTCTCGCACTGACGATCAACTCACCGCTTCCCATTCGGGTTCTATTAGAGTGATAGCCTAGCGTGTGATGTAACTTGATGGTTTTTCCTATCAGAGTATGGCTCCAATCCACCTACCTCCATTTCTTCCCGCATATTTGTAGCACAGTCGGTACCTGGTTGATTCACTACCAGAGATCCCTCTCTGTTTTTGATCTTTTCTGGTCGGTCATCTGATTTTGAGTAGCATTCAGCTGAAGGTGTGTAGTTTGTTCGAAGTGGCCTTCGTGACACAGCCCCGTCCCTGATCCATAAAGTAGTATTGAACTCACATTGGAGTTGAAAATTCGGATCTTATTTTCATTTTTATGCTGAGTAGTGGTGTTGGTCTCCACACAGACTTGAGAGTATTGAAAGCTTGCCCAGCTTTCTCGATCCTCGCTTTGATATCCTCATCAGTAGTTGAAACGATGCTTCTCAGGTAGGTAAATAGATAAAGGAGGTTGATTCTTTCAGATTTCTTCCATTTATACTGATTGTTGTCTCTTGTTGTTGTTTCTGCTGCTGTTAGTGTTGGCCAGGAATCTTCATCACCTTTATTTTCTCTATTTTCACCTGAAGGATGTCCTATCTTTGCTGCAGCTTGTGCCAACTTGTCGCTTTTCATTTGCATATCTTCCAGTTTTTGGGAAATCAGACATATATCACATCGGCGAATTCCAGATCCTCGAAGTATTTTGTATAGGTCTGTTTTATGCCTGTCTCCTCGTTACCACAATCAGGAAAATCATTGGAGATAGTAGGCAGTCAGCTTATCTTACTCTCGTCTTCACTTTGAAGAATTGCGTGACTTTCCCGTTGTGGATTACTTGGCACGTAGCATAGAAGTATCAATTGAAAAGTTACACCACATTCTGCACTTATATTCATCTTTTCGAGATCCATTTATATCTATATTTCTATTCTTTAACCTTCCCAAAAGCCTTCTATAGAACTGCTGTGTGTGCGCCTGTAATGGGTCCACAAAATCATTAAAATGGTTGGCTCTTTGGTGAAAATATATACAAGGGATGGCAAGAAGTTCAAAACTTTCCAATCATCTTTGTGTCGAGTGATAATAGATATTAAGGTAGTCGACTTTCTATCTGCAGTCCTCTTGATGAATTTTTTTTTAGAGGGATATCATACATACCAATCACCTAAACATTATTCACTCTTTGTCGACTACGGTTGTATTTCTTCTTTGATAAGACAGTTTCATCCACATGCACGACGACACCTTCTCCTTCCAATAATAATGAAGTAAGCCTCTCCATTTTCTATAATGCGATATCTCTGCAGTACTGGTACCACCGAACTGTTGATACGAGACTATTTTCAGTTCCCGGGCAGCAGCACCTGTCACAGGCTGTCTTAAAACTCATTAATTAAAAATACACAAAATATGGGTAATGGACAGATGGGATCTGTCACTATGAAATATTAGAATCACCACCTTACTAATTCGTCTCAAACAAATTACCCAAAGATGCACATATCCATCAAAGGACCTGCTGAAGTTTTTTATACTCATGATACCTCCACATGAACAAATCCTTTTTTTCGTAATGAACCCCACATCCAAACAATATTGGAAAACCTTATCCTTCCCGAATCGCAAGTGCAACTGCGTTAGAGGTAGGCATTTAACTCGAATCAAGTGCAATAGAATCTTCAACTCACATGGATGAAACTTATTTGACATTTCAAAGTCAATGGTGTGGTCACACTCCACTGGTAGTTAGTGGTCTTTAAAGTTTAACTTGGCGTAACTTTCTTAAAGTACTAGTGTTGTTCAATAGCAGAATGGCCTAAACTTCATTGATTTTGAAAAGGTTTTCGAAGTAATTTGAGAAATTGTTTGATACTAATCAGTAATGAGATGATGTTACAGGACTGGACTACATCGACGCCTAGTTTAAAAATAGGAAGTGAAGTGGTAGAGCACGTTGGCTGCTTCACTTATTTGGGAAGTACCATCAGCCCAACGACAACAGGTTGATCTCTGACGAAATCTCAACAAGAATACAGGGGGCTCGTTTCGCATTTGCCAGTTTACGCCGACTCTGGCGTAGACGAGATGTTCGACTATCGACCAAAGGGCGGGTGTAATGCTCATCAGCCCGCTCCGTCCTCCTTTCTGGCTGTGAGCGAGACCTGGCCACTGAGAGTGGAAGACATGAAAAGAGTGGCTAGCTGTCTTTGATGATAGGTGCCTGCGCTCTATTTCCCGTGTGAAGTGGCATAATAAGGTGAGCAATATTGAGGTAAGGCTTCGGTCGAGTTCTAGGTAAACAGGGGAAATCAATTGACGAAGTCGTGAAGTTACAAAGACTGAGATGGTTAGGGCATGTGTTAAGCGTGCATCCCTAGTCATCGCCTCCCTCGACGAGCAATGTTAACGGATACAGGGTCAGGCTGGAAAAAAGCTAGCGGCGGTCGGACAAAAACTTGGCACCAGTCAATGAAATCCACAACAGTTGGTCTAAGCCACGTAGGAAGGTGTAGACTTCCAGGCTGGGGTCCTCGAGCCGGTAAAAACAAATGGCTGGAAACAATTGGTGACATGGCTCAAAATCGTTCTCAGTGGCCAGCGCAGATGCATCCACTCCTTGTGACTTATGATCTCCAATGAAACTGTTTTGTTCTTCATTATTACTCCTCCTTTGTCTCACACCTCTGATTACTGTCTCCACTATGCTTTTCTTGTACTTTCTTCTCTTGGTTTGTGTGCCACACGGAGTATGGCGACTTGAACTTCCGCACATATGTGCAAAGTTCTATGTCGAAAACAGACAGACAGACAGACAATGAGAAGCTTTGTCACAATCTCATTCAAACAGCTATTTGATGGTTCCACATGTTAAGTGATCCACAAGTGAACGGAGTTTTTGAAGTAAAAAACGGGAGTAAGACAAGGCTGCTTACTAGTTAGTCATCGACGACGGTATTCCTAATTTTGGTTGACTTGAACTGAACCATGCTGCAGGCAGGAATACACTGGATCAAATGAGAAGTTTGTTTGGAGGTGTCTGGACTTTGCAAATTATTTATGCCTAATGTCACACAAACTCGAGAAGATCTCTACAGGCGGAAACCGACAAGATGAAAGAAGAAGCAACAAAGAAAAGGTGTTCAGTTGAATAAAGAGAAGACGACAGTGATGAAAATAACTAACCAACCAACCAACCAACCTGTTTGTCTGTCTGTTTTCGACATAGAACTTTCCACCGATGTGTGCGGCAGTTCAAGTCGCCACACTCCCTCCTTGTAGCACACAAAGTCAGAGAAGAAAGTAGAAGAAATGCAAGTAGAGATAGTAAACAGAGATATGAGGCAGAAAGAATAGTAATAGTGAAGAACAATATAGTTTCATTGGAAATTATAAGTCACAATGAGTAGATGGATCTTCGCCAGTCATTGAGAACAATTTTGAGCGATATCACCACTTTTCTCCAGTCTTCATTGTTTTTTTACCTTCCTGAGGGATCCCAACCAGCAGTCAGTCAGGCAGTCTACACTTTCCTACGTGGCTGGCTTAAACCAACTATTGTGGATTTGATTGACTGGTGCCGCGTTCTGGTTTGACCGCCGCCAGCTCTTTTCCAACTGACCATATGTCAGCTAACATTGCCCGTCATTCGAGGAAGGTGATGGCTATCGATGCATTCGTAACATACGTCCTAACCATCTCACAGTCGATGTAGCTTTACAGCCTCGTCTATTGGATTCCCCTTCCCTCCTTACCTAGCACTCGAGGCCTAACCAACCAACAACTAAGATCAGTCGTTATGAACGGGAAAAGTCTTAGGGAAGTAAACTTTCTTCACTAATCTAGACAGCATCGTTTCAACCACGAGCAGCTTGGTCGAGGATATCAAAGGCGATCAGAATCAGAAAAGCAGGACAGGACATTCATCACTCTGAAATCAGCATGAAAACCAAGATCGGTTTTTCCAACACTAATTTGAAGTCAGTCAGTCAGTCAATGAGTCACTCCGTCCATGTGATTCATAGATTCGTTGGATCACGAAAAGAAATTCCAACAGACTACTGAAAACAGATCAGATCAATTTTTAAGTATTATTTTCGTAGGGATTTTTTGTTTGATTGGGTGAAGGATCATTGGGTCCTCAGTGGCTTAATGGCCTATGAGGTCGCTCACCTTGTAACGAGAAGGTCCTGGGTTCGACCCCTGTCAATGTGTGCGTACTGATGAAGAGTCCTAAACTAGGGCGAAACACATGCCCAATACTCTCTGTGGTTTTCCAGTAGTTCTCTAATATCAGCTCATGATGAAATCCTCTAACGAAAAAGGACATCCATCTAAATACATGAAATTTGTCACATTTTCTTATGTAATCGATTATTATCCGATCTAAATGAAGAATGTTATTTTCTTCTATGTCCCTGTTTTCTTATCCTACATCTAGTTATTATTGTGATATATGTCTGGATCGAACTCTGTATGCACGAACAACTAGTAAAACAGCTGTATCTGAAATATTTTGGGCTGAAGATTTCAACTTAAAGTAAGCGATTACTAACCATTTCTCTTTATTGTCACTATTATTACTATTACTATTATTATTGTTATTATTACACGTATTTGCTTACACACTGCTATGCTAAGTGCATTTCATACGTATTTTTCGCTTAGATCACCAGTTGACGACACCAGTCAGAGAACCATTGAAAACCATCAAAGAGTACTGAACAGCTATTTCGTTCTAGTTTTTGAGACTCTTCGGTGATACAAACATATGACTGCATATAATTGGTGGATGTGACTAGCAGTGGAATCCACCGGGATGGGCATTTTGTCCTATTTGGGACTCGTCATCTGGAAGGATGTACTGGATTCCCCAGTGAGTGATGATGTTCCCACCACCGAGGCTCGAACTCAGTGCCCATAGTTTCAAACGGCAAAGCGTTATCCACTAGACCACTTGGGTCATGAGAGCCACCTCTTGTGCAATGGGTCATATTAATTATTCAATTGAATTTTTGAGATTTTCTCGTCGATTGATTGGACCGAAGTGCTCGGTGTCAGGTTGACATGTCAGGCTTAGTGATTTAGTAGATAACACTTTGGCGTTTGCAACTATGGTCATGATATGTATCCATATATATATATATATATATATATATATATATATATATATGTGTGTATGGTGATCTCTCTTTCTGTTGCTCGCTTAGCCTGTGACCATTTCACATTGATGAACCTGTCTCCTTTAACAATGTATATTCCCCTTATATTATATATTATATAATATGAGTGTTTGTTGACAGTCCGTTGCTTGGTGACATATATCCATATATGGTGGTTGTTGACATGTCTGCTATATTTTGCTATGTATATATGGATCGACACTCCATTATAATTAGCCATTCATGTTAAGACTGTCTATTGATTTGTTCACACACTTGTCTGGATGGTCATATATATTTCGCTCACACAATCTTGTGTGACTTACTTACTTTGGTGTGATACCACTTATTGCTTCTCCTTGTGTTTGGAAAATAGAAGTATCATCGCAAACCTAGTGGTCTTCCGATTTCCGTCTTTCTTGCGTCAGGACTATTAGTTTCTCGACCAGTACATAGCAATAACTTGGCGACGAGTACATAACAGGTCACTGGGTTCAAGCCTCGGTGGTAGCAACATTATCACTCACTGAGAATTGCAGGTGCATCCAGTAGCTGACTAGTCCCAAATAGGACGAAATGCGCTTTATCCTGGTGTATCCCACTGCTATTCACCATCCACCAAATAAATAATAATTAAATGCCCAAACATCGTCGAAGCATCTGCACAAGAAGCCGACAGACATGTCAACCTGAGACTGAGCACTTGGGTCCAATCAATCGACGGGAAAATCTAAAATTCAAATAAAATATGGCTGCATAGTCGACGGAACCAATGATCATCAGGTTACAAGGCGATCTCATTGATTATTCATCTAGTGGAACCCCAAATCCAGTCTCTCATGTGATTTCTTATCCAATACTCCCTGCTTTTCTATAAATGATTCTCTAACTCAAATATCAGTCTGTTGCGATCATAGCTGCAATCAATCAAATAAGAAAAAGAAGACGTGAACAGATAAGAATATTTAAACGTTGGTTTGCCGGGATTTGATTGGTCACGGAATTTCATCATGAACTGTATTAGTTAGAGGACTATTGATAAATCGGGGAGTACTGGACAACCAGCTGTTTCCTCAGCCACGCTTGGGACTCTTCATCACCACAGGGGGTTCGAACCTGTGACCTTCTAGTTACAAGCCGAGCTCATGATGAAATCCTGAAACCAATCAAATCCCCTCCCAATCAAACCAACACGTGAACATCAATCTGATGCTCATCAGAGATTGTTCCTATTCAAGTAGGTAGTGGGGTATAGAGTAGGTCAGGTGTGAGGACAAATACTCACCGATAGCATTCTCTAGTACTCGCACCATATCGTTAATTTGCAGAAGTTGGAACCCATGAACCATGGAATCGGATCCCAGTGACCCAATGATCAACGAGTTCGCCTTCTAACTAAAAAGTTGTGGGTTCGAATCTTAGGGGTGCGTAGTGCTGATGAGTCCTAAGCTAGAACGAAACAGCTGTCCATTAGTTTTCCATCCGTTCTCTAACCGATTTCGCTTCATGATGAAATCTGAAACTGAGAAAATGTTCTTTCTGCAGTTAAAAGCACTGCATACATTCCTATTGCCTTACTCGTGGACAGAGTAACATTCTTAACATAATTTTGCTACATTTTATTATTATTATTTTACAATCGCTCTTTTATTGTTTATTAATAACATTGCATTTTCATACGATTTTTTTATTGTCTTTCTAATAGTTTTTCTCCACTTTATACAATTATATTGATTAGTCATTTTTTCACAGTCATTTTATGTCATTTCAACTTTGCCTCCTTTTTTTCTTACCTCCGATTAGTCATCCCCTTGTTGATTGCACAATACATTTTTAGAACAAATTTACTAGTATCTGTCTGATTGGTTTTACGAATTCCTTGTTAAGTGTATAAGTACGATTGGTTACAGGATTTCATCAAGAGCTGACATTGGTTAGAGAACCACCATTGAACTACTTGAATATCAATTAGGTGCTCACTAGTGGATGGCTTTATTTAGGTAAGTAGTTATCTGTAGTTCTAGTGGGAAGTCTTGACCAGTAGGGTACAACATGTCGGATGTGAGGATAAATACTCGCCGGCAATGACATTGGCTAGTGCCCGTCGCGCTATGTCATGAATTGACAGAAGTTGGAATCCATGGTCCATTGAATCGGATCCCAGTGGCCTAATGGTGGTCTACGAGGTCGCTAGTCTTGTAACCAGAGAGTTCTGGGTTCGACCCTTGGCAGTGGGTGCGTACTGATGAGGAGTCTCAGACTAAACTGACAAAACAGCTGTCCAGTACTCCCAGGTGGATTTCCAGTGGTTCTCCAACCGATATAAACTCATAGTGAAATCCTGTAACCAATCAATCAAATCCCTTCAAACCAATATAAATACGACTGCACAAAGGTTCTTGAAAATGGCTCGTCAAAAAGCGGAAATTTCCCTCACTGTTTACGTCTTATTCTGATGATTCAATGTGGGAATATTCTTTTCACCGGTGGAATGAAACCTGAAAATCTTAACTGTTGCATATTGATTGCCATTATTGAGCTAAACAAAACCTCTGGAAACATCAGTAGTTGTAACTCATTTCCACTTGGGCTCAAACCTAGCGGCACTCATCGTTTTCAAAACCTAAAGCATTATCCATGAGGCCATTTTCACCGTTGACGGCCACCTACTGTTCAAGTTAATTTAGTGGACGACGCTTTGGTGTTTGAAATGAATCTCAATGCAAACACTATCACTCACTGGGAACTTTAGGCACATTTCAGATGACGAGTCCCAAATAAGATGAAATGCATTCTTGATATAAGGATAAAACTTAGGCACTGTAGTAGAGTACAACGTCATTATAAGAAAGAATATAAGGTATCTACAAGAGTTTTACTATGTAAGGATAGGACATCTGAGACCCTCTCCACTTAGGATTCTCAACAAAGCAGGAATTAGGGTGGTGGTGGTATGCAAACCTACAAACTTACTCAGGTAGGACAATCTCTGTAGGTCGAAGGAGCCTGTCGGTTGACCCAACTGGACAAAATAATATAATGTACAAAATACTTTGCAAGGATTGTGAGCGAGGTCAACTAACTACATAGGTCAAACTAGTAGATCAGGTGTAGTGAGACTATCAGGACATAAGAATTTAGGTTAGGTAAGAATGATTGATCCCACGAAGACAAGTAATTTAGGAAAAAACTCAGCAATCGCACTACATGTATCAATACACAACCACACTTTAGAGTGGGTGGGAGAGGGTTAAGATTCTAAGGAGTAATATAGGTAGGCGGATAGAGAGATTGATTACTGAATCCTGCCTCGTTCATCGAGTCTACACCCAACACATGTAACAGAAATGACTCAATGCAAATACCAGAGATATGTATGGAAGATATTATTACCACCAGTCAGTCAGTCAGTCAAATCAGAGGAGGATAATGAATAATTATAAAATTCTGTTTCAATTCAATTCAAGCACATCACAGCATTCTAACAAGTTACTTATTCATTTCGACTATAAAAACACTCGTCTTATTTCCCATCTGATTGTATTTGATGAGTAACACTCATATTATTATTTCTGAATGTACATTATCCTATATTGATTTTTATTCAATCAAATGTCTAATCGTCAATCCCACTCATGTATATAAATGAAGCAAGAAAGTTGTGTGAGTGAGTGATATGATTATGAGCAATAATAAATTGTGCTCGAAAGGTGGTCATCAGTTAATAATACTGCATAACAACACTGTGTGATTTATCGAAATAAAATCTTATCCATAATGAGGACGAAATGATCCACCTAGTGGATTCCACCGCGAGTCAATATCCACCAACTAACATAGCCCTTAATGCTCAGATATTGTTGAAGCATCCGTACCAGGAGCCCATATGTCAAACATGCCGGATATATGGGTCCAATAGATAATTGATAAATAGATAAATTAATTGAAGAAAAGGATAAATTTTTAATTGTTTGAAAAATGACACACACACACACACACAAAAAAATAACCCAAAAAATATCAGGCAATCTGAATAATTACCATCTGTGTACCAACTGTTTATTCTTTCACATAATACATGGAAATAAATTCCAACTGCATACAGGGGGATAGGGGTTTGTAGTGTGTAGTTGTGTAGTGAAGTTTTGTATTACACCAAGTTGACTGTGCATTATAGAATAACACCAGATAGGCTTTTGGATTGAATACTTACTACTCCACTTATTGGATAATTACTTATAACTGTATTTTCTATAGTTTGGTTTGTAAGGGTTAGTTTTGTTTTTTACAAGTTGACCATGATTGATATCAGTTAGAGAAGCACTGAAAACCAGCACTGGAGTACTGCCAGACAGCTGTTTCCTCCGTCCTAGTTTGG